GACACACACACACACACACACACACACACAAACACACACATACACACACACACAAACACCCGCAAAAATTATCTTTCTCTCTTTTAAAACTCTTTTCGATGTCGACATTCAACATAAAAGGAAATGCAATTCAGTTTTACTTACGAAAAGGGAAACAATCAAATAATATTATTAAAGGGAAGCAATTGATGGCGCTTTGTATTTTAAAGGGGAATAAGTAGCATTGTAAACAACAGTTATTAATTTTGGGGTTATGTGTGTTTATGTAAGGTTGTTTTTAAGCACATTTAGGGAACAAAAACTCAGCCTACTTTACTGATATGCAATTTGATTCAATGCTTTTTATTTTCATGCTAAAATACAATATTTCCAAAGTCATCTTAGCTGTAAATATGGGAGCGTTTAAAACAGGAGTATAATGTTTACACTACAAGCAAATGTATATGAAAGGCTGGTGCCATGTATGTGTCAGTTAGGTCCTAAACGCGTCAGTGCCAGTGGTTCTTCATGGTGAGAGTGAACAATAGGTATGATTGAGTGGCAAGTGGCACGTTATGACCTGTGTACTGTGTAGAGAGCCTTCACCGGTGATGACAGCACACTTATGGAAGAGTTTTGACTGCAAAATCTCGTCCTCTTCTGTTTTCTACTCAACATGCACTATAATATTCTCATCTGACTTTCTTGCTTTCGCACACGACAAGTGGGCAAATGACTTAACGTGTTTTTATTACTTCTATACTCGGACGGCTATTTATCTACAGCCGGGCATTATACAGACTTCTCAACATAAATTAGGCTAATAAAGTGGTTCATATACACGATCAAACTTGCTTGACTCAAGCATTTGATAAACATTTGATCGTGTCTGGGTAAGCTTTTGTTGATATTTTTCGTCAAGCCGTCGAACAAGTTGGATCGTGAGTGGGGTTCATCAAATTCGTTTGTTTGTCAAGCATTATTTTTTGGAAGTGCCTATTTGCTACGCCCCGTCGTTGCGATTAGCGCCAGTGCTAAATAAAACGCCGCGTTGCGATTAGCGCGAGTGCTGTATAAAATATAAAATCAGATCACTAAATGAGAGCGAACGTATGAAATCTTGTCTTTGGCTACTGATCTCACCTTTCAGTACCAAAATGCACGACCACCAGAGGTCCATGAACGTGACATTTCACGCCACCGGACTGGCTGACTTTGACGGATATAAAGGCGCTTGGCGCATGCGCAGACTTGGCACCATCAGAGACGAACTAGATCACAAGATGGTAGGTACAACCAGAGAGGGTTTAGTACAACTGCAGGGAATACACGCACAAGCACATTAGGAGGCGAGAACTTTGGAACAAACTAAAACTACTAATTATCACTAAATCTAATAGGGCGATAAAATGCATTTTAAATAATATAATGTAAATATCTCCTTCTTTCCGTTAAAATATCTCTCACTTCCATCTTATACCTAGTCACTCATCCTGCTTCCACAAAGACAGAAAGTCCAGCAATAAATAGCTACATCAATGCCACCACCACCGTCACCACTACAACAAAAACAACAACAACAGCAACAACAACAACAACAACTACTACTACTACTACTACTACTACTACTACTACTACTACTACTACTACTAC